ATTATGAGACAAACCTATGTACCCACCAATGAACCTCTGTGGAGAGTAGTATTAAATATGGGTCCAAGTGCTCAATTCTGAACCTTCTTACTATAAATAGTAGATATTGTTAACTTTTTTTTTTTTTAAACTAAGCTTCACATTTTCCTTAATATTGTCTACAACAGAATTCAGGCAAGCAGTCTCAGTCAATTGTCTTTCCATTTGGGATGAAACCTTTTATCAACCTGTCTCCGGGCTCCAAGAGCTTACTCTCTTAAGACAATTAGGAACTCGACAGTAGGGTTAATAGCTCTGGCATAGTAATCAAAAAAGAAGCTAGAATTTGGGGAAAAGATGGCATGGCTAAGAGTGAAGAACGTGAGCAGGAGAGATGAGAATTTAAACCAACTAAATACTCTGCTGTTTCACTTAAAAAGCAGGTGCACACTTAGATAGGATGCTCACAAATCAACTGACATGTATTTAATGAACCCAACACTAATTATAGTACACATGTAACAGGAAGACAGTACTGGGTTCCTGATCTCTCTGTTCAGAAGGGGAATTGGCAATAGATAGCAGCAGACAAAGGACTTAAGCCAGTTTGCATTTTCTTTGTCTACCTCCCGTTTTTCACATAGAGGAGCCTCAGCTACTGGAAGCAGCTTGTGGTTCACGGTGTTGTCTTTAACATAGAATTCTCAGAGCAGCTCTGCTTAGTGGATGCCCATGGAGTGGAGCCTTGGCTCTGAGGACAGAGGCTGTAGCACTTGCTGAAGGAAGAGGAGTGTGGTGGACTGCTGGTCTTGCTGAGACCAATGTCAAAACCAATCCCAACTCAGAGGAAATGGCTTAATTACAGCAGCTGGACATGAGCTTTTAATGTCACAAAATATATGCCAAGTTAGAGCCTGACTTAAAAGATATAAGACTGCATCTTTTCACCTCACTCTATACATTTGCATGTTTTGTGTTATCTCCATAGGAGTGGGGAGGAGCTCCAGTGGGTTCAGGTATGCTTCTGGCCAGAACAGAATTCTAAACATTGGCTTCTTTAATATTTGCTCAAAGCATTCAGCTCAGTGGATCTCTCGCACAGAAAAACTAAACGACCTGGGTTCTTTGTCCTTGATGGTATGTTAAGCCTAACACTTTAAAGGTATGCTAGATATATCCCAAAGTGTGGCCAATGACAGTCAGCAGTTATTGTGGGGCAGTGGTTGAATTTTCAGAAGACCTTGCCTTTACTTCCAACCCCTGACACTTAGGTACTAGTGGGGTTCTGGGTCACTTTTAGATCACTGAGACTTCTGCCCTTGATGAGCAACAAATAACCTGTAATAATCTAAGATCATTAAACCGAAGATATTGGAATAGTAAACACTCAGCTCGTGTTTGGTAAATGGTCTGAAGAAAGTGACTAAAAAACGTCATATAATTCTTTAATATCTTTACTCTCAATTTTACACGTATGACTTGACACGGCAAATTTTAAGATCAAGGCACTACCAGAGGAATCATGGCAATAATTGTACCTATCAAGTGGTATGTTAAGAGAATGATAATAAACAAATTTTCATTATTGAGTAAAAATTTTAAAAATTAACGTTATTCCAGAAGATATACAAGGAAAGTGAGTTGACCCATGTTTTATGAAATCACCTTTGCTACTAGTAGAGATAATTGAGATCTGGTTATAGAATAGTTTTCAGAGAATTGTGGCTGGATATCACATATTTCACATTCACATATTGACATTAAAATACCCTACATATATCTATTGATAATTGTAGTGTTTGGTTTAGCTTTTTGGTTGGATATAAATGGCATGGGGCAAAAGATAATTATTACATTAAAAAAAAGACGATGCATTCTAGCTTGGAGAGAAAGGCCTGAAAAATCTCAACCGCTTAACATCTCAATTTTCTTGGTTGTTCAGGCCTGACCCTGCTATTCTGTACAACGAGTAGGTCCGGTGATAGAAAACAACAATTATTTAAGTGTAATGCTTTCTGCAAAGAGGATGAGGAATGAATATTTTGATCAATTCCTCAAAGGACGACAGGTAAGGATGAGGTAGGAGAGAGATTGAGGCCAAGAAAGGAAACCGTGAGGAGAGATGAAATATGCTGCTTTTGGAGAAATAATAATACCATTTGAAATAAGTTTATGCACCTTTCTTTCTGTTTCCCCACCGCTTTCAATTTCTCCCTTTGTTTTCTCTCTCTCTTCTTTCTTTTCTCTGTTCACTTCAACTGTCTTTTTTGCTTAACACAAATATTCAAATATATTATAGGCACTTTGGAAATACTTGCTGTTTGTTACCTTAGGAAACTTGCTGTTTTTATCTTCTGCCCCCTGCTCCTCCCCGGGAGTAGAATTAGTGATTCATCACTTGCATATAACACCTAAAACAACACAAGTAATACCTCCTAATACCTGTTCCATCACCTATTTAGCCTATCCCCCACCCACTCCTCCCCTCTATCAACCCTCAGTTTGTTCTTCTGTTGTAAGAGTCTCTTATGGTTTGTTTCTCTCTTTTTTCCTTCCTATAAGTTTCTTAATTCACATATGAGTGAAATCAGCGTGGTATTTGCCTCTTTTTCTGATTTATTTCACTTAGCATAATACACCCCCAGCTCTCTATCCACGCCACTGCAAATGGCAAGACTTCATTCCTTTTGATGGTTGAGTAATATATCTATATCTATCTATCTACATTGATATATCAGCACACACACACACACAATTCCACACACACACACACACACACACACACCCACACACCACATCTTTTATATCCATTCATCACACCTAGTGGACATTTGGACTCTTTCCATAGTTTGGCTATTATTTGATAATGAGGCTATAAACATTGGACACCTGTACCCCCACAAATCTATATTTTGTACCCTTTGGGTAAAATACCTAGCAGTGGCACTCATAAATTCAGTAAAGTCAATAGATATGTGAACGATATAGAAATCACATTTTCTGTATATCAGTAATGGAAGCAGCAGAATGTAAAAATCAAGGACTTGATCCCATTTACAATCACCAAAACTAATTAAGACATCTAGAATAAATCTTAGTTTAAAATCTGAGTTTTATTTAAAATATACACCTTCTCCATTTGATTTGAACTTTAAAACTCTCTTTCAAAACCCTAAGAAAATTATTTTGCATCCTTCAAAAAAAAAAATCGCGGGATATTTACCACTTTTAGTGCCTAAATGACATTATGTCTTTGAATGAATTTAGGCAATAACAATTTGAGTTTGAATATGGACATGGCTACTAGTTATGGACATTAGGGAAGTTACTTAACCTCTCTTCATATACTAATAAGTCGTAAAATTTATTTTCTTCTAGAAAATAGATAATAAAATTTATCTCTGTTTTCTTGGTTAATGTTATGACAGATATAACCCATTTAAAATGCTTAGCACACTTTTGTGGATATATATGGCAACCCTGCAAGTCAGTAAAATGTGGTCAGGTGTTTCAAAAAGATTTAGGCAAAACCATTTATTTTGTTGGAAGTTTATTTATTTTAAGAGCAATGGGAGGAGCAGAGAGAGAGAGAGAGAGAGTATAGAGAATCTCAAGCAGGCTCTTGCAATTGCCACAGAGCTGGACAAAGCTCAAACCCAATTTAACTGTGAAGTTCATGACCTGAGCCAATCAAAAGTCTCATGCTTAACCTAACTTATCACCCAGGTGTTAACAGAGGCAAAACCATTTGAATCCTTACAGAGTTCTGAATTCACGGTGATGCAAATAGTAATTATTTTAATTAAACAGTCAGTTTGCTTTCATCATAATTAATATTTTTTTGTGTTAGCCATTATGCAAAGGTTCAGTGAAATAAGCCATGCTGAATGATATGTATATTCCATGTGTCATATCCCTAATACAGTCGATTTCCCCTTAATCCTTACCCTTCACTTACGCCTCCCATTAAAAGAAAAGCCCAATCTGTGCCCATGGATAGAAATGCTCACAACTAATTAACTGTTTTGCCTAGAAGTGGCAGAGTATAAACCAAATTTTTGTTTCCATTTTTTACTTTCTATGCTTCTCTCTCCACGGTGTGTCCCTGAAAGGGAAAAGCCCTGAGACCTTGGTAATTGAGATGGTGATGGCTGCTTTTTGATATGTCCTGTCACTTCCAACAAATCAAAGCAAGAATGAAGACCGTTCTGCAGCAGCCAGAAGCCGCAGACTTCTGTAACTGGCTGTGTTTTTATGGGTGTCCCAAGAGGTGCTTGTCCATGTTGTAGCATCTTGGAAGAGCACCTTCTTCAGAGAACGTTACTGAATAGTCTCATGTTTTGGGATGTTTGGGAGGAAAGACATGAGAAACGAAAAAATATATCACACATAATCTTCTCTCATCAGGTTTGAAGCAAATAATAGGGACCAGTAACAATTTGTCTAGCGGAATTTAAAATAATTCTTCTGTGGAAACTAAATTGAATAAAAGATTCACTCGGCGAGAGGCCACAAAAGGCAGAGTGACTCTTGGGTTCTTGTCTTTTTTTGCTAAAACCAACCATGTCATTCCAGAGATATCATTTCTTGGAGTCTATATGCAGCTCAATAAACATGGAGACTCAGCTGATAACAAGCCTGGTTGTAGATGAAACGATGCTTTTCCCCAGTTCAGCTGAAGGGGGTCGGAGAGGGAGAATAGAGAGATAAAACAAAGCACGATTTTTTTTTTTTAAATTTTTTTTAACGTTTTTTATTTATTTTTGAGACAGAGTATATATATTGCATACGAACGGGAGGGGCAGAGAGAGAGGGAGACACAGAATCTCGAACAGGTTCAGGTTCAGGCCAGCACACAGCCTGACGGGGCCCGAACCTCCACGGACCGCCAGATCGCGCGACCTGAGCCAGCCAAAGTCGGCCGCCCAACCGACTGAGCCACCCAGGTGCCCCACAAAGCAATGATTTTTAAAAACTCTGAAAGTTTGATCCTCACGTGTTTGGGTCCTTTGGGTTGACAGAATTGAAAAGCCGAAAGCATTATCCCTGATGTTGCACACAGCAGACATTAGCCATCCAGCAAAAGCATGGGAGCTCCATCATCGCTGGACAATGTCACTCCTGGAGGAGTTCTTCAGACAGGTACCTTGTTGTGCTACTCCTCAGGGCTGTCATCAGTAGATATTTCTGAATTTTCTATTTCAGCAATGCTATAATAAGACTATGGGAACTGCAGTAATTTTCTTTGGGGAGTAAGGTTTCATAGCTTTTTGTTTGTTTGTTTTTTTGTTTTGTTTTGTTTTTTTTGTTTCTTGGTCATGTGATGTCTGACTCTTACCTAAATTTTGATTCTCAGAACATTATGGTGTTTCTGTCCTATACATTTCTGTTTGGAAAAAAAAAAAACAAGCACTTGTTTTTGGCAGTCTTTTGTCAAAATGTCAACTGGTTACTTTCCTTTTTACTCTTTATTTTAATGGGTTGACCAAATGGTAGTTACTTTTGCATTGTCCTGTAGGATTAACATGTTAATCTTTAACTCATAATAATTTAGCTGTTATAATTGGTTGGGTTGTTTCTTTTGAGCAGATAAGCCATGTTGTCAAATTCCAAAGTGAGGTGTGGCAATTTGTGGTCAGGAAATCACTAGATGCTACTGCTTCAATTATATTTAAACTTACTACATCCTAAGACACAGGGTTGTGTTTTCTACAAGGGTAGCCAGAGTCTTTAGTGAGTAGGCAGTACTTTAAAATTAAATTTAAAAAGGGGTGCCTGGGTGGCTCAGTCAGTTAAGCGTCCAACTTCAGCTCAGGTCATGATCTCACAGCTTGTGAGTTCGAGCCCTGCATCGGGCTCTGTGCTGACAGCTCAGAGCCTGGAGCCTGCTTCAATTCTGTGTATCCTTCTTTCTCTGCCCCTACCCTGCTTGTGCTCATTCTCTCTCTCTCTCATGAATGAATAAATGTTAAAAAATTTTTTTTTAAATAATATTAAATTTAAAAAAGGTACACAGAAGTAGAGAAATAGGGGAATAAGTGCATAGTACCAAAAACTGATGTCTTCTCTAGAAGAGCTGCCATTAAAACATCTGCTTTGAGATACGAGGTCCTGAGGTTGAAGGCAAGATGACATATGCAGACTGTGGGGCCTGAATTACAGCCAATTCACATCAGTACAGTTAATTCAGTTCTTGTTACTTCATGAAGGGTGGTTCATGTCATGGACTCAGAGACTTCTGACACTGCACAGAACATTTATGAAGGCCAGTCTCAACTTTGTCCCATGAACCGACAAGAGATAGGGTCTTTCACTGGTTACTTAATTTTTGGAAGCAAATTACTCCTATGATTACTCTTCTTCTGGGATTCTGGTTTGAATGGGAGAATTGTAGAAGGCATCTATATGTGTGTGTGTTTTCTTCTGAAACTGTACACAGTATCCAGTGATGAGGTGGGACTAGAGTTAACAGCATATTCAACGAAGTCCAGGTGACTCTTCGTTGTTTTTTTCTATTCCACCTGGTTCGTGGGACTAATCAAATCACTCTTCTAGTTCCTAATGGACTTATCTGAGATTTGTGTTTTAGGACGTGGTAGTGGGGAGTGGATTTAGGGGAAGGTTGTACCAGATGTTTTCTTAGGGTCCTTCTGGCATTACATGTTCTACACTTCCTTCATACTGTCTAGGAGTTCACATCAGGGTATGCATATACACATGCACCCCTCAGCTGTTATGTGAATACACCAGCAGGTACCCTGTTCTGCATTTGGCTGTTTCCCTTTGCAAAGGCATTGGTTGGTCTCTCAGACTAGTTCTCACGGAGAACCTAGTGGTATGTGAGGAACTAGAGCTGTATAGGTGTGGCCTTATGTATATAAGAATGACTCTGCAAATTCATCCTTAATCAAGGGCTAATTTTGAACCATTTTTCCAGAAGCTCTTTTCCTAATATTAGTGAGAGGATTTTCTGTAAATACCCCCTCTCCATTATCATATGCTTTCTTTAATATTGCTTGTGTAATAACACCCCTAATGGCTAGGAGTATTTAATTTGTAGCCAAAGGTCGGTGATAGTAACTCATGTAAGTTTGAGGTAATGAAATGATTCCTTCTTTTAATTGTGAGTGGATATGAGAAATTACTTAAACATGTGCAAATTTTCCCCATAAAAGAAACCTTGTTTGCATACACATATGTTTGAATTGAATGAAAACGTGCTAGAGGCAATGTGAAAATAACCTTATTGAATTTCTTGCCCACTGGGAACGGAATGTTAGCTCACTGGACTGGAACTACTTTTTAGTAATTATGATTCAGTAAATTATTTTTATTGACTTAATATTTTAACCCAGATGCCATAAGCCATTGTAAGTAACCCATGTAGGAGAAATGTTGCCTCAGTTCTTAACTATAGATTTTAAATCAGACAGTTCAAATGGGAAATCTCAATGGGACTGTAGAGTCTTTGAAAGCATTACATTTGGAAGTTGGGTTATAATTCAAAATAAGGGCATAGCCTCAGTACTGAAAGACCAGACCTTCCATGCTTTGCTAAAAGAGTAAGTTATATCTTAAGTATTATAACCATATTTTACAAAATCTAAGCTACTGCTTCAGGGTGCTTCTCAATGAAATATTGACTTTAAAGAAGTATAAGTTTGCCTTTTTGGTAAATACATGCTATAAAAGTCTTGAGGTTCATTTCATTTATATTGTTGTTTATTTTTATATTTTGCAAATGTTCTCTACAATTCTTTTAATATCTTCTGTGTCTGTGGTTATTTCCCTGTTATTATTATTATTATTTTAAATGCTTATTTATTTATTTTGAGAGAGAGAGGGAAAAAGTGTGAGTGGGAGGGGGCAGAGATGGAGAGAGAGAATCTCAAGCAGGCTCTGCACTGATAGCGAGGCTCCATCAATGTGGGGCTCAATCCTATGAAGTATGAGATCATGACCTGAGCCAAAGTCAAGAGTTGGATGCTTAGCTGACTGAGCCACCATATTTCCCCATTTTAATTTTTTTAATTTTTAATTTTTAAAGTTTATTTTACTGAGAGAGAGAGAGAGAGAGGGAGAGAGAGGGGGAGAGAGAGAGAGAGAGTGCACATGTGTGAGTGGGGGAGGAGCAGAGAGAGAGGGAGACAGAGAATCCCAAGCATCCTCTGCATTGTCAGTGCAGAGCCCTATGTAGGGCTCGAACTCAAACTTGCAAACTGTGAGATAGTGACCTGAGCCAAAATCAAGAATGGGATCCATAACTGACTGAGCCACTAAGTGCCCCTATTTCCTCATTTTTAATTTTCATTTCATATATTAGTGTTTGTGCCCTTCTCTATGAAATTAGCTAATCATTTGATTATTTTATTGTTTCTTTTTTATTTTATAATACCTTAAGTGAGGTTTTCATTTGTACTAATTCGTTTCTTCTGCTTGAGTTTACTTTGTTCTTTTGTTAACTTCCTGAGATGGATGCTTAATTCACTTATTTACATTCTGCCTGTTTAACATTACTAAGACTAGGAGTTTGTCTTTTTCTTATGAATCTTACGGATTCATACATGCAGTATGTTTACAATCACTCCTTTCTAAATATTCTGGAATTTTGGTGTAGATTTTTCTTTTACCCAAGAGTTGCTTCTGATAGAAGTGTTTGTTTATATAATTTCCAGTGGTAGGGTCTTTTGCTTTCTAGTTTTGTAATTATTTGTGGGTTATTGAAATTAAATCACAGAAATTTTTCATTGTTTGGATTTTATTGTGAATCATTTGTCACCTACTGTATAATCAGTGTTGTGACTATTCACTGCTCTTGAAAAATATATTTATGATGGCTTCTGGAAAAGTGGCGAAAAGAAGCAACAGTGCAGTTGCTGTCCTACCTCTTCAGGTCACGATTCATGTGTCCTGTGAGTTCGAGTCTCCTCAGCCTGCCTGGTTTCTGGGCTGATGGCTCAGAGCTCCGGAGCCTTCAAGAGCCTGCATTCTGTGTCTCCCTCTCTCTCTGCCCTCCCTCCCCCCATCCATGCTCTCCGCCCCTTCTGTCCCAAAATAAATAAACGTTGAAAAAAAAAATTTTTTGAAAAAAAAAAAAAAAAAAAAAGAAAAAATTTGAAAAATATATTTATTTTCTTCTTGCAGGATATAAAATTCAAAGAATACTGTACACACCTACCTTATCAATTATGTCATTTAGGTATTTTATATATCATTAAAATTTTTTTGATCTTTTGTAGGATGACAAGTGTTTCTATTTTTTTTTCTATGTAGTATGAAGGTTGATTCTATGTTACTTGGTTCTTGGATATTAATAACTATTAGACCATCATAATTTACTGTACCCCTTGTCATTATAAAGCCTGCCTCTGTATCTCATCTAATGCTTTTACCTAGAATTCAAATTTGACTCATTTTAAGAATATGACCCCTGTCTTTGCATAGATTTTTATGTTCCACCTTTCAGAAACACTTTGGTTTGGGTGTGCCTTTTAAACACTGTATATAGGGGCTTCTGGGTTGGCTCAGTTGGTTAAGTGTCCGACTTTGGCTCAGGTCATGATCTCGCAGTTTGTGGGTTCGACAGCTTAGAGCCTGGAGCCTGCTTCGAATTTTGTGTCTCTCTCCCTCTGCTTCTCTCCTGCTCACACTCCATCTCTCTCTCTGTCTCTCTGAAAAATAAACATTAAAAATAAATAAACACTGTACATAGTTGAGGTTTTTTTATGAGGCGATCTAAGATTCTTTTCTTTTATTATTTGAAATCAGCTATATTAACATCCATTGAAATGACAGAAATACTTGATCTTAGGTGCCATGACATTTTACATTATGCTTTCTGTTTTTATGGTTTCTTCTTAAATAGTTCACTGTATTAGCTATGCTGTCTGCTTTGTTATGTATTTACTTCTTCTGATGACTTGGAAGTTTTATATTTTCAGTTTTTCCAGTGGCTAACTTGATAATAAAAAATTTTACATTCTCTATTTATTTCGATAGTATCTATTGCTTCCTTGTTATAAAAATTAGTAAACTTCTTTTCCTCTCACGTCTTCCCCAGCACCTGTTTTTAGCTGGCTTTATTAACTGGTTTAATTATTGTAGTCTGTCTTTTATTATTTAAATTTAGTTATTTTTTTTATGTATCAAGTTTAAATGATATATTCTTACCCCCATCTACAACAGATAAGAAAGCCAGTGTTTATTCATTACCTTCCAATACCATTCCCCATTTTTTTTCATAACATAATTAACTCCTTATTGCTATTTGTTGGCTATCATATTTCTAAATTGTCCTGAGTTTTTAAATGAGCATTCTCTGGCATGTACGACATGCTGTTTACAAAAGATAAACCTTAAACAATACCACTTGGAAAGGTGGAAAACATATCTGGCAAAAGCATAATTTTCTAGTTTGTTTTTGTCTTGGTTCTACTCACTGCTGGTACTTTAGCTCTGGTTGATCTTCCATCGGTTGGCCAAAGTTGTTCTTCAAGTGGTTTCTTTTAGAAGAACGAATGCAACACATTTTTGTATACTTGCCAGTTTTTCTACTGCTATTATATTTGGGCCATAGTTTGCTTGCTTTTTTTTTTTTTTTTTTTTTTTTTTTTTTTTTTTTTTTTTTTTTTTTGGTGGGTGGTGGGCCAGGGGTGGAATCAAGCTTTCTTTCCCTGAAGACTTTTTTAGATTTCACTCAAATACGTGAGCATATTGCTATGGAGGGGTTGGAGGCCCTGCTGTAATTATTTTCATGTCTAGGTGATGTATCTTTTTGCTTATGTGCCCTAAAGGATCATTTCTTTACCTTTGAAGCCCACTGACAGAACTGGGATATATTTCAATAATGATTGTTCTGTAATAGCTTTTCTTGGGACCTGGTCTATTCTTTTCCTCTATAGATTCAGGTTACATTGATTAAATCTTTGAATGCTTTCCTTTTCCATTTATTTATTTCTCTTTTTTAGGGAAAGCAGTTATTCATATGTTGTCTCTCTTTTGTTTCTCTTCCATGTCTATCACTTTTCTTTTAAACCTTCATTAACTCTTTGATCAGGGGTATTTGTGTGGCCTGCTTTTTACACTCCTGACCTCTATGCCCCTTACTGTGTTTCCATCGAGAAAAACTCTTGTTTGTGCAGCTTCGTATGCAATCTTCCTTTATGCAATGGTCTGTTTTTCTTTTCCGTTAGTTACAAAACTATCCTTTGTACTGAGGCTTTTGCCCTTCTTAAAAAATATTGATGTCTTCAGTAAAAAGGAAAGTGTTTGAATAATTCCACATGGGCCAGTAGTTATAGAACCATATAATATTGTTTCAATCAAGTTGAATTCACCAGAAGTACACCTTTCCACATTACTTTCTGCAAATTACTTTTTTTCCAATTCATAAATGTACCTGTCATCCAAAGGGAATTCAATGACTACTATTTTAAAATAGGGTTTTAATAGTTGAGCCTGCTCAGCTCAATTAAATCCAAAAGATGTATGTGGTGTATAGATGTGGGTACAGACAAGTCCATGGGATAAGAAGTTGTTTTATAGCTTGTACTTTTTCAGTAATAAAATCCAAACTAATGCTTACGTCTTAATAGTCAAGTGGTTAGTGTTTCCCACCTCTTCTTCTAAACCACCCCCATTAAAATGTACCAGAAAACCAACTTGTGTCCCTGCTTCATAGGGAATAAGAGTGGGTTTTACTTGTTTAAGCTGAGATATCCCACAGAACCATCTACACCACAACAGTCTATGTCATAAATCCTCTTCCTTCTTTTTTTTTTTTTAATTTTTTTTTTTTTCAACGTTTATTTATTTTTGGGACAGAGAGAGACAGAGCATGAACGGGGGAGGGGCAGAGAGAGAGGGAGACACAGAATCGGAAACAGGCTCCAGGCTCTGAGCCATCAGCCCAGAGCCTGACGCGGGGCTCGAACTCACGGACCGCAAGATCGTGACCTGGCTGAAGTCGGACGCTTAACCGACTGCGCCACCCAGGCGCCCCCCCTCTTCCTTCTTTTTATACTGCCCAAGAAGAAATAGCTCAGGGGTAAATTATTTTTATCATGCCAAGGAATACTCAGAAACAGAAGAACCATTGTGTCCCATGGGGTGTTTATCCAGGAAAGAGTGCAGAAGGAACTGAGCCACTTCAGGACTGTTCCTGAGACCCTTGGATGTCCCCAGCACCTATTGTGACCCCACCATTCAGCTTCCTCAGACGCCCATTCCTTTTCCTTCCTTTCCTTTTGTGTGTGTGAACCAGCATCCTTTCTCTTCGATAACATGCCTTAGAAAGAAAACGTATTTAGTTTTTGAACTTGGCCTAGTTTTTGAATGACGTTGTTACTTTTCACTTACTATTAATTTATTGGTAGTATTTATTATAATCAGAGTGTATTTGAGATAATAAATTCACTAAATGTTCCTCAAATCTTGACTTAAATATTAGAGATATCTATTACAAAATGATAATAGTTTTTTATTTATTTACATATATTTTCTCATTATTTAATCCTCATCATAACCTGATGAGATAAGTATTATTATCCATACTTTATAGAACATAAGACTGAAATGTAGAGAAGGAAAGTCAACTTCCTGTGATCACACAGCTAGAGGGAGAAAGGCCAGATTCAAGCCCAAATCAGTAGCCATTAACCTGAGCAAATTCTAGCCTTGTAAAATGAATCAGCACACCTTCACTACTATAAGAAAGGTGTTATATTTTTCCTTTCCTCCAGGTGTGTGACTAAAGTCACACGGGTTTTAATTTTTTTTATTATTGTTTATTTGCTTTTGAGAGAGAGAGAGAGAGAGAGAGAGCGAGCAGGGGAGGGGCAGAGAGAGATAGAGACAGGGAATTCGAAGCAGGCTCCAGGCTCTGAACTATCAGCACAGAGCCCGATGCAGGGCCAGAACCCACGAGCTGTGAGATCATGACCTGAGCCAAAATTGGACGCTTAACCAACTGAGCCACCCAGGCGCCCCTGGTTCAGGTTTTAAAAAATCATCTCCTTCATTATTTAGACTTTCCATAGTACTCGCTTATTATAGTGATGGTTTTTTAGTGAGATTGAGAATATATTGGTCAGAAAATTATTATTGTCTAACTTGGTAAACACAAGCAAGTATTTACTCTGTTTCATTTTTTGGTCCACTGTTCATTATGGACCCCTGTGCTTAAGACCCCAGAGCACTTACCTCAGGTGTGTGGCTTTAGGTAGCAACACTAGCAGAATAAATCCGATCAGCCTGGTTTGAATTTGTGTCTTGGCAGGGGTGGGAGGAAGAGGTTCACTGGCTCAAGAAACGCCACACAGATCGACGAAAACTTGAGAACACACAGGAATTCTGGCTGCAGTTTTAGCTCTAGGCCACAGAACTCGTTGGCTTTTCTTTCCTCGGGCACCAATTGCTGCCCGATGAGGCTTTCTGTACAACAGCATGTGCCTTTACAGTTGGATGGAATGATTGGACCCCAGAGGGTTTCAGCCTCTTGGTGTCTTTTATGCACAGGATCAGGCCCCAGAAGGACTTATTACATAATGTAATTGTAATAATTATAATAAAGACCAGTGGCCTTTGTGGCAGTTGAAGTTGCTAAATAAAATCTGGGCAACTCCACCTACTGATCTTAATTTACTGTGACCTCCTATTTTTCCAGGGTGACAGAGAAGCAGAGCTGGGGCTGCCTTTTTCTCCTCTGTGCGACAGAAAGTCAACGATGGTTGCTCAGTCGCAAGTGGGTACGTGTTGACAGCCTTTTGGATGGAAAGAAAAAACGGACTGGGGTTGCCTGGAAGTAAGCGCAGGTGCTCCCAGTGATACTTTGGCTGGGAACCTGGCTCCATTCTGCTGTGCCATGCTTATGGCTTTGGCTGATTGGGTTGTTAGAGCCCCTCTCCCCATCCTTGTCCCTGGAATGTCGCTGGTTCGTAGGAAGATTAGACAGTGGTGCTCTGCTGTGTCTATCATTCCCCACTAAGAGCAGAGAGGGCCTCAACTTTCCAACATGGTAAAAATCAGTGACAGGAAGCCCATTGTATTTCAACCTCTCCATTCTGCATGCAACACTGGAAGTCTCCCTGTCATTTCTCCCCAGTGATGCTTCTTCCTTTGGCCCTGTTTCCAGGACAGTCCTATTTCCTGGATGAGCTTCATTCCAGGAATGGCTCATTTTAAATGTTTCCTTCTTTTTAAAAACTTTTCAGCACTTTTTTTTAAATAAAGATAATTTTGTACTGCTAATAACCATAATATATGTGAATTACAAAAATCCATTGATATGAGGGTACCAGTATCACACATTAATCAAATATCATCAGTGATCTCCACCTTGGAAGAGTCTGAAATTATTCAAAAAATAAATTCAACAAGGATTTACTGATTTTTTGTCTACTTGTGTTTTGAATACTATTTTTCATAATTGTTTTCATACTATTGTATTGAGTTTCTATTAGGCATGGGGCACTGCTGGGCACTGTACTAGATGGTATAAAAAACAAATACAAATTATAAATGCTATCTGCTCCCAAAGACATTGAGCCAGTATTGGGTAGTAGGCAAGACTTTAGGAAAACAGTGTCTGTTTGAGTGTTACAGTGCTCAGATTGAGTTTTCTATGTGGTACATTCAGGCACAGAATAGTGTCTGTGGACCGTTAAACCCAGAAAGATTTGTTGAAGGGTAATGTTTGAGTTGGGGATTAAGAAGGAAGTAGACAGTGTAGGCAAATGGTGCTGTAGGTGAGAGGCGTGTAACAGGCACATGGAAGGGCATTCCAAACAAGGGATTAGCATATACAAAGCAGGGAAATTTAAAACAGCCTAGTACGGTCAGGGAATTACAAATAATTCCATATGGTTGGAGTAGTGGGCAGAGTGTATGATGAAGTAAGGGCCGTGTATGGAGAGAAAATCAAGGCATATCCAAAGAGTTTTAAGTAAGATTTAAAAATGTATAAATGGATGCTTTAGAATGAGAGTCAGCAAACTGTAGCCTGTGGGCCATACATGGCCTACCACTTGGTCCTGTAAATAATTCCATTATAAGACAGCTAAGTGCGATATTTGAGTGTTGTCTGTGGCTACCTTTGCACTACAGTGTGAGAGTTACGTAGCTGTCCTATATTTGGCCCGTAGAACCTAAAATATTTACTATTTGGCCCTTTACAGAAAAAGCTTGTCAACCACTGTTATAGCAAGATTTCTCTATCGGTAGCTTGGAGGGTTTTGAGTAAGACTAGAGGTGAGGAAATCAGCTGGGTGCCTTCTGCAGGCTTACAGGGAAGAGATGATGAGTGTGAGAATTGAGGAAGCACATAGACTCTCCAGGAGAAAGGTGGCATATAACATATTAAGGATTCAGCTGGATGCAAATCTAAGGTAAAGGCAGCGATCCAGATTAAGTGGTTGGATCATGGTCCCATTTATGATGGTTGGAGGGAAAGCTGATGAGTTAGTTCTGGTTTGGACATACTGAGTTTAACTTGTAAGAAAGCAAAAAGGTGAAATAGTATCATGAAACACTTAAGTTTCAGCTTAAGCTAAAATTGTAAAAGTATACCTCAATTAACTATAACACAAATTTGGCCATCAGTGTTTCCTTATCAGGATACTATGGGCATTTGGGGCAATCCTTGTTTGGTCAATTACATTATACGGTTTTCAGCATCCTTCATTGCTGGACATTAAATGCCAAGATCACCTGCACTTCAGTCATTATGAAAACCAAATAAGCATTTGTACCAAACACTGTATTTCCTTGGATTGGCATTTCATTTCCTTCTAACTTGCACATGGCTGCGTTAAGGAACGACGACCAATAGTTTCAGGTCATATAGTTTCTCCTAACGTGTCACAGAACACTTGGGTATTTTTGAGCCATTGACACAGTGACTCCAGCCTAACATCAACTGTCTCTCCAACATGGCCGTATCTCTAAGGTACAGTTCCAGATCTGACCCCTCTCCCAGTTTCCAGCCCTGTTTCTCCCAATTCCGTTTGCCCTCTGCCATCTGGATGTGTCCCCTGCACCTAATAGCACATCTAAGTCTGAGCCCATCATTTTTTTCCCCAGCCACGTTTTGTCCCCCCGCCATCCTCCCTGTGTTCTCTGCTCTGCTGTGCGAGATCTCCTTGGAGACAGCACCACTACTGCAGCACGTGGACGTGTGCCTCCATCACACATCTGCCTTATGATGAATGACACTGGGTCTCCCCTCCCTTACCTTCCTTTGGGCTATCTCGACAGCTTCTAAAATGATTTTCTCAGCCTCAGCCCCTCCTGCTCTCTCCCTTCCCATCCCTCTTGCCAAATTAACTTTCCCAAAGAACATTTAAAAAAATCTTAACTGTGATGGTGCCCAAACACGTCAAGGAGCGTAGAGTACCCATCTAAGTCTCAGCTCCTTAGCTCCACCCTCAGGAGCCTCCTGCCCTAAACAGGTGACTACCTGCCTTCCCAAGATTCCCCTTTCCAACTCCAAAAGAGTCTTTAAGCTTCAGTCATTCCTCAGACACATCCTACCTTTTTCCTATCCTTGTCACTTTGCTTATTCCACTCCTTCCACCTAAAGTGAAGAGCCTTAGGTCTCAGCTCAAACACACAACTCCCCTAAAGCTATTCACAGACCTCTCGTGAGAGGGCAAATATCCTTCCTTCCTTCCCTTCCCAGAGGCCTTATTTGGGCTTCCCCTTGGGCCCTTTCCATATCCCCTCAGGGTCATTTTTGTGCTCAGGTCATCTCTCCTGTGAACTCCTTGAGGGTAGGCAGGTTGTGTTCTACATCTTCATCTTTTATGCAGCACCAACCACAGATCTATGACACAGTGGAGGTTGGATATGAGTTTCTTAAGCACTTTATTGCACCATCTACTAAAAAGTCATGGGAAGTTACATAGGAGAGATGGAACTCACTCATGATATTCAACTCCAGGAATATGTTAAATGAATAAGACCAACCTTCTCTCTCCTGATCTGATCTGGAGCTCCTCTGCAGATGAAGTTTAAAAAAAAAGAGAAGGTTCATCAGATTCCATAGGGAAATATGGAAGGGACCAGTTTATGTGTAGTTCCTCTGAAGCGTTGCTGTCTCTCTTCAGGTTTTATTGATTTCATCGTGGAACCCACCTTTACTGTGCTCACGGACATGACCGAAAAGATCGTGAGTCCTTTAATTGATGAAACCTCCCAAACTGGCGGGACAGGACAGAGGCGTTCAAGGTCAGTGCAGAAGCTTGAAGGGTGAGGGTCAGGTCGGCCTCTCCACAAGGACAGAGTCACTCCTTTGGGAGAGATGGGGGTTTTTCATAATGATGTTTGCCCTCCCTCTCTTGTAAGAGAGATGTCTGCCTCTTTCTTTTTCTCAGAGGAGTTGAAGCTGTACTGTCTGTACTCTCCAGGCTGGCCGGGAAGGGAATGACCAAGGTCCACACCGTGACCGGAGCATTCCCAGTACAGGTTTCCTACCACATTCTCTCTTTCGGTGCTTTTGCTCATGACAACATCCACCTTGGCACTTTGATTGCCTGAGCCCAGACAGTTATTGCTTCCCATAATCCAAAAAGACAGTCCTCCTGATCGGAGTCATCCCAAGAAATGAAACTCACTTTCATTTCTAGGTTCAGGAAGGGAATGAAGTGGAGGAAGGAAAAAAACCTGCAAGTTTTAAATCACCCTCTGACACGGTTTCATTATATTGAGTATAGATTAGTGGCAGGTTCTGGAGTCAGATTCCAGGTTAAACATCCCAATCCCATTACGTTGTAGCTGTGTCATCTCAGGCGAGTTTTCTTGATTTCCCATGTAGGTTGTAATACTCCTAGGTTGGAGGAAAGACGAAGTGAGTTATTCAGTCTACATAAAGCCCTTATAACAGGATCAAGCACAGAGGAAATGCTTGCACCATGGCTAGTATTCCTGCCCCTCCCCCGCTTGTCCATGTAAAACCTGGGCTTTGTCATAAATGAGAAAGGGGGGAAATGGAATTAATGGGAAAAATAAGAAAAGAGCAAGAAGGAGAGAAGGTAAGAGGAATATTAGGACAGTGGGATCCCGAACACTCAAGGTGAATGAACCCAGTGACGGCTGCTAACAAGGAGGACGGAAGCCTTCTCCCTGGTCCCCTGCCCCACGGGACTGGGCTGAAACATATCCTGCTGGTCTAGTCAGCCAAGGTTGTCAGCGGGTGTGCATTTGTGTCAGTCACTGCGCAAGCCACCTGGAAGTGTATAATACCTTAAAGTTTCCCAGGAGGCTACACTTTCTATGTTTGCAAAAATGCCCATGTTTCAAGCTTGAAGTAATATTCATTTTAAAAAATGTCTTTTGCATGTCTCATTTCCCACAATCTCTAAGGTGTCTGTGCCTTTTCAGCTTCCCCAGAGGATACAAGGAAATCATCTTACTCTGGCCTTGGGGATCCTGGGGTCAGAGGCACTCAAGTACAGGGGGAGGTGGACCTGGAGAGAAAGAGGAACAAGTGACTGGGTAACTTGGAAAAGTGGTCAGGGTAGAAGCAGGTGGGTGCACTGTGGAACTAAGTAGGAGCCTGGTTTCAAATTAGTTAACTTTGGAGAGTTGAAGCCAGAAGATTCATATGAGGGAATTCTAGTCATATTGAATAAGAAGATACCAATCAACAGAGAAGAAATACAGGGGATATGGATACTCATGAGGCTGAAATCTTGATCTTTTTCTCCTGCTGAGAATACAGAATTTCCCATCTCTCACATATGGAAAGAGGAATTGCACCCCAATAACCTGAGGAGCGTTGCTCACTCCTTTCTTGGGCTTGCTTACTGGGATATGTTTTTCAAACACTAACCATCCTCTTGGGTATGACTTTTTGATCTCCAGTTTGAACAGCATCAGTTCGGCAGATGCGAAGCGATCGGGTGTCAAGAGCACTGGCTCAGAAGGAAGTGCGCCCGTCAACAGTTCTGTCATCCCTGTTGACTATAAGAGTTTCAAAGCCACGTGGACTGAGGTGGTGCACATCAATCGGGAGAGATGGAGGGCCAAGGTGCCCAAAGGTAACATGCTACTGGGGAACCTTCCTGGAGATCTGTCCAAATCCACTTAAAAAAACAAGGCATTGCCAACCCTGATTTCTAGGTATTGCAAATGAAGCACAATCTCAGGCTGTTTATCCAAGTGGCGGAATGTTAGGCTCTTCCGTCTTTTGCTGTTCATTGTACGTAATGCTCAGTACATGACAGAATGAGGCAGCCCACCGAGTCCCCATTTCAGCATGACCTTTGTGCTGTATGACTGAATTCCTCTTTTTGGTATAAAGATTCTACAGAGGATGGGTGTTGTTATTTCTTGGTTTTTGCTAGACTACTTTCATTCTCATTTCGTGTCATGTGACACACTCGTGAGGCCTTAATTTCTTCCTTCCTCTAAGTAAAGCCTGGCCAATAGCCACCCCTGCCATTACGTTAGGACAGAGAGAGCTTTAATATCCTTGCATACATTTTTATCTTCCTTTCATGTTCTCAACTTCCTTTCAGTCATAACTCAGACTGATCTTCTGAGATGAAGGTAACTTGTAGGTAAAATTCATTGAGGCCAATGTCAAAATTCATATCAGAAACATCATGACTCTTGGTACTGTAAATAAAAAAGACTGAAATCTGTGTGCTTCTTGAAAGCTGAAACCCATTTGCTCATACATGTATTTGTGTTTATTGAACACATACTACATGGTCCATACATACTACATGCTCATCTTGTAGTCTAGGGAGGAACACATACCTGAGATAAGGGCATGATGCTGTGGTGCCTGATTCCAGGGAGGCACGAAAACATAGCTGGCTCTTGGGAGCTCAGCGAGGAGCTCGGTGAGGGGGCTGATCCCAGTAGGATTTGTGGAGGTGAGCCTTCAATAATAGTCAGTGCTTGTTAACATCTACTGAATGAATCCCTACTATGTGCCAGGCTCTGTGTTCTGTGCCAAGAGTGCACAGGTGAATAACAGACATCCTCATCCTCAAAGCTCACAGCCTCTTGAGGGCAGGAGGCATTACCACAGAGTTTCTTTCAAAGAAAGAATGGAAGTTCACTCAAGGATTTGCACTTGTCACCAGCACTCACTGGCCCCTGTCCCCAGATCCTCATAACAAGGAAAGAGAGTTCTATCCTCAAACACAACACTGACACTTTCATCCACCAGTGCCTGCACAACACGTTGGAAGAAGTGCGGGAGTGGCTGGGCGCAACATGTTCCGGCCCTGTTGGCCCCTCATACTTCAGGGGGTGCTTCCGGTGTGGGAGAGAAGAGACCTCACTGCTGGAGTTAATCAGATGCCAGCCACTATGGCTTGTCCACAGAATCCTGTCCAAGTGGCTGCTCATTTCATGTGGGACAGAGGGCTTATATTTATATTTATGTTTATGGTGCTGTTAAGGCATAATTGGGCCCTTATCATTTCAGGACAGATGTTGCACCCTGAGCTACGGAGCCAACTCCTCTTCCGTACTTTAAGTGTAGCCTCTCACAGTATATTCAGATGCTTTAAACATTTAAATTCTCCCTGTTGGCAGGCATTGCAAACAGCAGTGGCAGCTACTACCTCATCTCAAAAGAAGCACTCTCTTGTAATCAATTACACTCATTACGTTTGAAAATCCAATTCCTGACAGCACACAGTCTAAAGAGGTACTTCAGAATAATTTGTTTGCAGTTATCTGGCTTCCTTAAGTTACCTTCTGAAACTAATGACCTGGGGGAGCGTTAGTTTCTTTTCCAGGAGAAAACTGGCCCTTTAAGAATGACAGGTAAATAAAAGCGGATAATTACAAAATATTAGGTACGCTGATGGAGATATGGCTAAGCTATTTTGGAAGCATAAAGGGACGTTTCCCTAAACCTGCTTATTTGGGTATTTGGGAAGGCATCCTGTAGCCAGGACTTCAAGGATGCTTGAGGTTGAGTCCTGAAGGAGGTGCTATATTTAAAAATGGGGAACAAGGAGGGAGTGGACACAGGCACAAAGCCTGGATTATGTATGTTTTGTGGGAGAATAGTTTGAATATCAAAGCAAATTTCAGTTAGTGGGGAAATGGAGAATTGAATCCCTATTTGCACTGTGCTCTTTGGCAGATTCATGTAGATTTCTTGAGAAAATTACCTTCTGGGGATGATAATACACATCACAGAGCTGATGCAAAGAACAGAAATAATATATGAAAAGCACTGAGAACAGAGCCTGTGTGTGGTTAGTGCCTGATAACTCATAGCTGTTACTTTAAAAAATTGGAAAAGAAAGTTAGAGGTTTGAATGCAGAGTTATGAAGACGGTGGTAAAAATACTAACCTATATCTAATACTTTATTACATTTTCAGCCTCCCGGTAATGCTGTTGACTAGTTCACTGGTGTTAAGAAATTCAGTTTGCATCTCTTTTCCCTCGGTGATTAGTTTGTACCAGATTATCCCAGGCTGTTTTGCCTATTCTTTTCTATCAGAAAACCGTGATTTCAAGAAAGCCTGAGCTGTATGGAGCACTTGAACCTATGTTGTTATTAAATGGATTAGAACGGGATCTAAAGTCTTGGTTTTACTGCCCAACCTGATTTACAAAGCGAGCTAGACCAGAACCCATAGTTGTTAGAAAAGATTAAACCAATATTTCTTAACAGCTCTCAGGGCTGAAAATTATTGTTCCCAAACAAAGATGTGTAGCTATAACAGTTTGCAAGTCTGATCGATATTGATCAATTAAAAAAATTTTTTTAATGTTTGTTTTTGAGAGAGAGACAGAGGGCAAGTGGGGGAGGGCAGAGAGAGAGGGAGACACAGAATCTGAAGTAGACTCCAGGCTCTGAGCTGTCAGCACAGAGCCTGACGCAGGGCTTGAACTCACAAACCATGAGATCCTGACCTCAGCCGAAGTCGATGCTTAACCGACTGAGCCACCCAGGCTCAATATTGATCAATTTTTGTTTAGTATTTAACACTTTTTAAACATTTTTTTTCTGGTGTAAGAATAATTTGTGTTTAGGTTACAGTGCTGACATATAAGTAAGATATATAAAGAAGAAAATAAAAATCACTCCAAACCTCTCCAACCAGACATAGCTATTAGTGAAGTTCTGATGTATTCTTTTTTCTTTTCTTTTTCTTCTCTTTTTTTTTTAATGTGAAATTTATTGTCAAATTGGTTTCCATA